TAAAAAGTAATATTTGAACGATGATAAATCAAACTTGGTAGACAAATTATTTCGAATATTGGGTTGTCAATATTTTGTATGTATATAAAATATGAGAGAATGAAGTATTAGTGACAGGTAGTATCCCAAAAAATGGTATTTAAATGACGGTAAATCAAGCTGGGTAGACAAATTACTTTGAATATTGGGTTTCGAAGAGACAAACATTGGGAACATCCGAATACGGTTGAGGGGCTGCACGCACAATTTGTAACGTCGACAAACTTTACGGTCCATCCCCAGTGTTAGGACGAGCCTAAGTATACGTTAATACAGTGGCAGCCACTGTGCGTTTGCTTTGTTTGATATTATAATGGACAAAAGCCAATAATATTTTAATGCGTCTATTAAAATTTAGCGAGTGGGAGATTATTTATCGCATATATGGAGCAACTTAAACCAACAAGTTTGCTGCTGGTTGCTAGATTAAAAGCTTTACCCGATAATGTGTTTGCTTCGATCATAGTCATAATTACGTGTATGTCTACGCGTGTCACACATATACATTCACACACATAATGGTTTACAAAAGAAAGAGAAAGAGAGAGAGAGAGAGAACACATTACGATTTTCTCTGTGTACTTACAATGTATTGAAAGAGTTTATGTGTTTTCTGAGTTAACGTTGACACACATATTGAGTATCACACTCTATAGTAAGTAATATTTTTTTTCTTCTCTGTCGTGCCACCCTCATCCCACACCAGCCTCCCTTATTACTCACTCGATCTCGTTTAACAATTTTTATTTATTCAATTAATTGATTCGAGTAAAAATCTCACGCGTGAGAGAGAAAAAAAGGAAGTCTAACAATAAGTAAACGATGTTAAATACACGAAGAAAAATATTGTTCTAATCCGACGGTAAGAAGTCAAGAGTGAGAGAAAGAGAGAGAGAGAGAGAGAGAGAAAGTAATAAAAAAAAATTACAGAAGATAGAAAAGGAATATCGAATAATATTTTAAATGAGAGGTTAACATTAAAAGAAGATATTTAAACAAATGTGAAACGTTTGAAGTTCATGTCAAACAATTTGTACCGAAAGAACGTACGTTAAAGCTATCGTAAAGTCATTCACACTCGAGCCGGCCACCGTGAGCCCACCCACGTAGTCGGCATTGACAAAGAGAATCCTTCGTCTTGAGAGTCTTTAAAGATTTAGAAACAACATATACCTGAGTTGCACCTGCYGCAACAAGCAATCAAGCAAGCAAGCTAGCCAGCTAGCTATCTAGCCTTAACGTTTTACGTTTTAGTACGTGTTTGCACGGAATTAGTAGGAAAGCGACTTTTGATGCATGGAACAAGACGAATATAAGAATAGAGGAAGAATAGAAGGAGATGAAACAGGAGATGAGAGAAATGACGAGGAAGAAGGGGACCGACCCATAAGAGGAAAGGACACACGGCCAAAAGGGAACACAGACTCCATTCGAGTATTCTCGTGTTTGAAGAAAGTAAGAAGGGAATTTGTTTGTTCCTACGAGACGATTCCACGCTTATTTTCAAGATACGAACGCACCCACCAGGCACGGACGGATTCTCCTTAGATTATTTCCACCTTTTTCTTTTCTTTTCTTTTCCTATCATCGTTTACTTTCCTAGGATTCATTCATCATTCGTCCATTAACACTTTGAACACCAACCAACCATAGTTGATTACTCGGGCGACTTTATTTTCTTGGATAATATTTGTCATTGTTTTTTTTTTTTTTTTTTTTATTACAGTATAATACGATGAAAAATTTTATGAAAGTTATTAAATAAATATACGTCGATTTACGTAAGATTGATTTAATAATCAAAGTGTTATCAACGAACAAAATACTTCGTTTAAAATATTTACAAAAATATTGTTTTTTTTTTTATAACATTTCTAAATTAGTCCGTTAATATAACAATTTTCTATAATATATATATATATATTCTATTAATTTGATTGAAAAATGATTTTATTTTATTCGATATAAAATTTGTTCGCGTTTCGTTGTAACACATTTTATACCCTCGTTAAATGTAGACAACAAGAAAGAAAAAGAAAAAGAAAAACAATTTGTTAATGGTATTTTTTGGAGGTAGAAATGTCACGTTTGTAAATGTAATATGGATATCGATTGTCGAACGTAAGCTTGCAAATCTATTCGGACAGGCGTAAGGGACAAATGGTGATTTCTAAATGTGGACCGTTTGATCTTTCGTCAGCTCCCCCCTCGTTAAGAATCATCGTCAATTCGAGTACACACATTAATGGATGAAATGAAATGCTCTCTTAGTGCTAGATGCCCCGAGCAATTATTCTCCTAACTAGAAAATACTTTTTAAAAAGGGTGTTGTTAAAAAGAGAGAGAGAGAGAGAGAGACAGATAAAGAATGAGTGAGAAATTAGAGGGTGAAAGAGAAAATGAAAGAGAGAAAAAGATAGAAACTGTATTCGTGTTGGCTTCACGCTTGAACCTCGGCGTGAAAAACTTTTCGGAGATGATAATGAAAAAGTAGACGACAGGATTATGAGCAAAATTAATCTTCCATGTTGCACGCGTTTGAATAATGCAATATACAAAACAGTTCTCCTCGTTTGCATAATTTTTTACGTTTGAAACGTTGATGGATATATTCTTCCCGGTTGCATATTACGTAGTAGGTACCTTCATCTCTATCTCTCTCTTCCTCTCTCTCTTTTTCTGTCCATCTTTCTCGTTTTTGTATTCGGGTATAAAACACATAACGATTTAACTGTTATTAAAATTCTTTTCTCCGAACATGTAGCGTACGTCAAAAACACAGTACTAGCATGTTTTACTAGTAAGTTTTTCATTTTGGCAATGTGCCATTATAATTATAATTATTACTATTATTATTATTATTATTTGTCGTATACCGAGTAAATAACTAGTTGAAAAAACTATATACGGATGATAAGTAAACGTACTATGATTTTAATATAATTGTATTATTAATCTCGAGGATGTATCTACTACTATCGGCAAAAAGATTGAGTATCGTTATGTAAATTGAAAGAAACACGTGATATTTATAAGAAAAAATCAATATCTTTTTAATAACTAAAGTAGATTTATTTATTGAAAAAAAAAACAAATATTGTCACACATCATTTTTCTTTATCAAGGAACGAGTATTAATTATAATTGAAAATATTTTTTGATGCTTCTCATAAAAGTTTTGAAAGAAAGGATTATACATTCCGAGTATTGTAATAAACTGAGCGTAGGAATTATACAAGAATAATTATAGACATAAGAAAATACTGAAATCCTTTAAAAGATTTTTTACAGTTTAAATAAATGTTTTTTTTTTTATATAATAGTATATTCGATTTATAAACGAAAATTAACAAACGATTGTAAACTTTATGCCGGTAGTGTATGAATGTATGTATTTATATTATATACGTGGAAGGGAATGTACGCGGAGCGAAGGGGTGGTCGAAAAGGGTGTTCGAGGGTTGAATCGGGTAGGGCGTTGTGTATTGCACGACTATCATTTTCAATCTTAAAACGATCTTCGTCTATCTATCTCTCTCTCTCTCTCTCTCTCTCTCTCTCTCTCTCTCTCTCTCTCTTCTCATTCTCTATCTGAACGGGATTCGTTCGGGAATACCCACAAATGCAAATGCAATCGTCCATCGGTGGGCTTCCTTCATAAAGCAATCCGTGTTCTAGGTATGGTTCAAGAATCGTCGTGCCAAGTGGCGCAAACAAAAACGCGAGGAACAAGAACGCATGAGAAAACTCCAGCTGGAACAACGTCAACACAACGAGGATGGAGTATCGACTGCATCGATTAGGGTTACCGATCATTTAGCCTTGACCAGACAACAGCAACAACAGCAACAACAGCAGCAACAACAACAACAGCAGCAACAACAACAGCAACAACAGCAACAACACGAACAAGAAACTGACAGTTCGGATTTGGAAGTCGCGTAGTCGCTAAAGGATTTTTATTCAAAATCATTTTTTTTTTCTATCTTTTTTTTTATATTTTTTTTTTGTCCCAATCAAGCGTCGCCATCGAAGCCACCAAAAGTAGACTTTTATTATCACCTGGGGAAGCCTGTAAATACGGAAAGTAGAATGTAAATATTACCTGTAAATATGGCTAACGATGAATGTGTATAAACGAAATAAATTATTGCATCTAACAGATAATAAGATTTCAAGACTTTTTTTTTTATCTATCTAACTATCTAATATAATACTTCAAAAATATGTCGTTCTTGTGTAGAAAAGTTCTTTTTTTTTATTATATTTATTAATTCTTTCTCGTCTTTCCCTTTCGAATTTTATTTCAAATATCGTATATAAAATATTATTTTTATATGAACCGTAAAGTATACAGGTATATCTAGGTATAAATTCATATATATATTTCTTAATTGAAATATGCAATTCTGCATTCTTTTACACTTTAACAAATCGGTATAGTTATTTCAGGATTTAACTGGTTATTTCACGAATTAGCAGATTTTACAAAGTAGCAATACAACATATACATAAAAGTAACTTCCTATAGGAGTGCCAAAGATATTGCTGAGTACTAGTTCAGTGAAAGGTAAGTTTTAGGGAAGTTCGTATACTAGTACAAAAACCCTGAGGGCTATCAGAAACTAAGTCACGCTGAGTTGTACACATTTAATAAGATCCATGCTGATATTATATTGAAACCTAAAGAGACTATCAGCTTATCTATCATTTATTTTATACCATTATTTATTTTCACATTCATATTTTAATATAATAATAATTTAACAGGTTTGTTGAACAAGTTAATAACACAATTATTAATTATCATTATTATGCTGGATAATTATTAATTGTGTTTATTGACTTGTCCGAAAACCTGATAAATTATTAATTGTATTTATTTTATTTGACTTTTTTTCTTTTCCTTTTTTTAATACCAACATACGTTAAGAAAATACAGTTAGAAAATGTTGTACAATTCAAGCATCATCTTCAGTCTTACAACACGTTTTATTGATCGTTTTTCTTTCTTCCGCTCTTCTAATCTTCCACTTTCTCATTTGTCTTTTTTTATCATCGTCATAAGGACATACAACTTTATTTCTCTTAACCCTATAATCAGTTATTTTCGGTTTGCCAATAGGTAAATCGGCAGGTCCAGTAGTATTAAGGTCAACAACTTTGAGTATTTCAATCGGATTAAGAGAAAATCTACTGCATTCTGGTGTATTTATAGTTAAGATAAGAACGATCATGAATTTGTAAAAATACGTGGCTCTCAATAAATAAGCCGCACCTTCCCCATATTGAAACAACGGTGGTCCAAATGAATTAACGTCGCACATGTAATAAGCACCGCAAAATTTGAACACACCAAGACAATAACTTTCACAAGTTAATATTCCAAAGTGATATTTCATAAACATTTGTTCTAATGATTGCCAAAGATGTTTATTATTTTTAGCATAAAGTCTACCACAAATTGCTGGTAAAACATTAGCCTCGAACATTGTGTCACCTATTTTGAAATGACTCATGAGATATCTGTTCCAACAACTGACATGACTATATTCCGGTTTATTTGACTTAAATTCAGCTTCCAATTTGCTTAATGTGTAATATCTGTCACCACACATGATTATTACATCAAGAGTCTTAGAACTCCAATACTCCGGTGCCATAATCCTTGTCATACCAGCGCAAACAACGTAACAAGCGTAAGCCTGGAATCCACGGTTCTCTCTATCGAACATACCGTCGGTTATGTGAAGTTCACCCCATAAGGAAAATAATTTGTTTGATTCTTCCACGTAATACTGATGCCAACGCATTCTTGGAATAGATCCAACATCTTTGCCGGATGATTTTTTCCTTGCCGACGGTCCGCACTTAGCCCATGATATCTTAAATAATTTTAACCAAGTTGGTTTTTCTATTTCATCTTTATTAACATCACCACCTTCTTCTTGCTCGATCGTACATGGATCTCTCCAATCCAATGGATCAAATGGACAATCGTCGATTGTTTTTCTTTTTACACGACGAGTTCCTACTTTCGGTTTACGTTCGAGTAATTTGAGATTGTTCAATTGACAGCAATGATAAATCATATGAAAGATTTGAATCGTAAATACGTCATTTTTGGATTCAGTTTTGCCTTCTTCTAATTTTTGTTCTTCCACAATTTCCACTGTTTCATCTCGTATTTCTTCTTCCGTATCTACATTTTCTTCAGTTACCCTAACTTCTTTTTCATTCTGATCAACTTGAATTGGTTCTACATATTCAGGAACCGGTATTTTTGATTTTGGAATATCATAAACATAAGCACGAAGTAACAATACGATTAAATGCCTTTTCAATGATTGTCTCGTACAAAATTTCATGATACAAGCGTAACCATCGTCGTTCCAATAACCAAACTCATCGCATCGATATGGATTATACAAATACCAGAAAATACCGTCTTGCCAAAATGCCAATGAATATTTGGTCGTACGAAAAATACAATTACGATATTGTACAGGTAATTTGTCGAACCATTCTTCAATATTTTTTGTTGCTTTGTGAACTGGCATGTTATATTCATCGACAATTTTTTCCGAACCTATTTCTAATTTGACGTTCATCAATTCTTTTCTATTCAATGTTTGTTTCCTTTTTAAATGATTTTCCTCAAAATTCCAATCGATTTCAGTTATCCTCGGTAAATCGTTCATTTCTTGAATCAATTCTATTTCAACGCTATATTTGTAATTATATACAATGATATCGTCCAACCTTTGCTTGTCCTTGATATTGATAGAACCGATATGGGTGAAGAGCATCCAGGCGTGGTCGTAAATATAATCGATGTTCACGCTCCAAGCGTACTTATATCTTAAACGTAAAGTCAAATATCAAACGTTTAAATACATTACATAGTAGCTGGCCAATCAATTTCCCTCATTGAATTCTAATGGGCGATCAAATGAACCTAATTAAACGTGGCGCTTTGTCAACGGTTCGTATAATATTCAGCATGAAATAATATTCGTTTCGCTTTTAGCAAGTACATACATACATATATTCGAAACTGATGCTAAACAATTAGCGGGATAAGTGTTAACGTTAAATTTTCCGAGATATAACTATACGTTGTTCGATTGTAAATCGAACAAATGCCCGCGTACCCCACCAATGTGAGAATCCCAATATTTAATAACACATTATACGCGAATTAATTAAACCGTTTGTTAGTTGAATTATTATCCTATACGTTTGAATTTGAAATAGAGAATCTTTTAGACACGTACGGTAAATAAGCCGATAAATTTATATTCAAAAATCTTTTATGAACCCCTTTGTGGACAATCATCTAATGAATATCAATGAATTTTCTTATCTATTATCTTTTTTCTTTTTTTTTTTGTTAACACTTTAAATAAAAAAATAAATGTTTACATAAATATACCTCAATTGAGTTTTAGCTAAAAGTGCAACGACAGCTTGATAGAAACAAAATTTCCACGTTTTTTGACGATCTCGAGAAGATCCTAATTCTACCAAATGCATTCCCTTCAATCCACGAAGACACACATCCGCGTATACTCTGAAACCTTTTTTCTTCGAGAATAATTGAAATATCACATAATCGCCATCGACTAAACCAGGTCTTTCACCGGCATCACGATCAACGTAAAATTTGTTTAATTTAGGAGGACAAATCTGTGGTAATCTCGCGTGTCCCAATTCTTTTCTCATAGCAAAATCTTCCTTCAATTGACGGGCCAATTTTTCTCCAACATTTTTTTCGATATTATCGCAAGGATATATATCCTTTCTTTTCTTTTCTTCCAATCTCTCGCGTTCCTCTATTTCAGCTAAAAAATCACGCGTATCGCACGGCCACATACTCGGCCATCTTTCATTATCCGTTTTTGATCCTAACGATTTGACTCCGATCAATGATTCTTGTAAACCAGTAGCCTAAGAGAATCAAATAATTTATGGGGTTGGCAAGAAAGTAATTTCAGTAGTAAGTAAATATATATATATATATATATTGTTATATTATAAAATAATATAAGTATTTTAATATATATATAAATATATATAATATTATTGGGTTAGCAAGAAAGTAATATTTCACACTAGAAAAACCGAAATTATTTTCTTGCTAATCCAATATATAATAATTAATATTTTATCTCTATACTATATATATTACTATAAAATCAAAAAATTAAAAAAAAAAGGATCTTGTTATCAACATTCAAATTATTGTAAATCAATTGATTATACACATTCTTGTTGAGAAAACATAAATAAATTGAACAAATAAACAAAAATATTAATCTCTATCGATATTTTTGAATTTTAAATCTTAAGGGATTACAGATTGATCATTTAATTATCTTTTATAAGTAATTTTAGATGTTACTTGAATATTATTATTAACAGACCTCACGTTCTCCACGCATATTTCTCCAAATTCGGATCATCTTTGAACGTTCTAGCTTATCGGGTAGCACGGTTTCAGCTTCAAATTGAAAAGCATTTAATGGCATGCATTTGTATGGTGTTCCTATCTCTTCTACCGACTTTATACGAGGTAATTTCGGAAGTTTCTCTGGCTTTCTATGCTTGAATTTGTCCTCCCTCTCTAATTGTTCCTCCCTTTCTATATATCTACGTACGAAGATTTCAAACGTGTTTTGTTTTTTAACATATATGACAATAATTTAAATAAAGTGCAATAATAATTGTACTTTTTATTAATTTTCATGTTTTTTTTTTCTTTTAATCTCTGATTTATTTGTAAATTATTATTATTTTTTTATTTCTAATAAAACAATTTAAAAGAATAAAATTACAATTATTGATCATTTATGAACGGGGGAGGAGGGGCTAGTGTTTCGGTATTGTCGAATTTAAATCTTTAAATTTATCATGGCGGGGAGTGAAAAAAAAAACGAAGCAAATTTGAGCGGGGTTTTTGTTGTATGAGTATAAACTGGGACGTAAAACAGTAGAAACTTTTCGAAATGTAAACTACACGCTTTTGAACGTAACCATAAATTTGAAAAATCGTTTAAACAACTAAATATTGATCAATTCAACAATCAAACGATCTCGAAGGTATTTTAATGAAAAATTTACGAATATTTATGAATATTAATTTTTTTTGTATAAATCCAAAATATATAACAAACACCCCAAGTGGATAAATTATTGTTTATAATCATCAAATAAATACGCAAATAAAAATCATTTGAATAAATTACGTTTTCATATAAATACGCCATAATGCATTTTCCTCGCAGGTCCACTTATCTTTCATGCAACTATCCATTCGAAATTTACCCTTCTTTTTCGATTTTTTTCTTTCACTTTTCGTCTTATTTGTATTCACAATTACTTCTTCAATTTTTCCATCTATTTTCGATTCCTTCTCCATCGTTGGATAATTAATTAAATCATTCCTCGTACGTTCATCTCAATATTTTTTTCTTTTTTTTTTGTTTTTTTTTTCATATAATTATTATTAGAATTTAGTTATTATAGAACATTAATGATAATTACAATAGAAAAATTTGGAATTTGTAACCTTACTTTAAATGTTACAACGATTTATACCGAAGTATTCAAAAAATCGAAATAAAAAAGAAAGAAAAAACAATCGATGTGAGTGAGACGTATATATATATATATATATAGATTGATTCATAGGTATCATTCGTGACATCTAATCCGAAGTGAAACAAAAATTTGTTTAAAATTTGGAAATCTGTTAAATCCGATGTAACAAAGTCGTGACTATACGAAAAAAGAAAAAAAAATGGATTAAAAAAATAAAAAGAGGCAAGAAGGAGAGAAAGAAAAACAAAAAAGAAGAAGAAGAATAAGAAGAAGAATTGAGTACCACGAAATATAGGCAGCAAGTAATTTTATAATTATTTTCCTTTAGGGAAGAAAACGTTTTCGGAAACCTTTAAAAGAAAGGGGCAATCGTTGGGGGCTTGGTTGAAGCCCGACGATGGACCGATGCAAGATTTTCAAAGAGTGTTTATATAATTAACGACGATGTGAGAGACAAAGAAATAACGTAGCGAGAAGAAACCATATCCTTGATCGTGGTATTTGAATCATTATTGGATTTAGGAGCCCCGCACGTGCATCATTACCGAATAAATAAGTCCTATTGCAGAAGCAACCCTATAAAACCTCTGAGATATCAACGTGCTTGCAAAATCAGTTTTGCAAACGCATAACAACACGACAAATAAATAATCGTTATTGCATATATACTTAGGTATATATATAGTCAACGTTTCGATATATTATTATGCATATCTCTGTAACAGTAATTATGAAAGTGTACTAATAATAAGTGGACAAATTGAAATCATACATTACATATGATTTATTTTAGATTAATATAAGTTTAATTATAAAGGACACGTTTATATTTTACGTTTGAATTATTTATATCATAAGATATAATTCAAATAATTATCGACACGTGTAAATTAATGTCGTCTTAAAAATAACTTTCGGTTTTTTTTTTAACTAGTATGCGTTTATTTTATGTTAAAAAATATCCTACATGTAAAACTTATTGAAAACAAAAGAAAAAAAAGAAAAAACTTTAGAGACTATCCATCTAATACATATTCCGGTATTTATCCGAATTGTTAAATTAACCCGTACAAATTACTACGGAGTCATGAGAGAGTATTTAAAACAATAATTAATTATTATTTCTTTTTAAATTTCAAAGATGGGATATCATTATCTAAATGAATTCAATATTTAATCGGTCAAAGTTCAATCTTTGACAGAGAATGAAATCTACCTAATAAGAGAACTATCTTGGTCATTGAATAAAACAAAAAAAAAAGAAAAGAAAAGAAAAACCTAGAAAAAAGAAGAAGAAGAAGAAGAAAAAAACTAGGTTCGTTCGAGCCTTAAGTGCAGAGATTCTTTAATAGCATTCTATAAAGAAGAAGTGGAAGAAGAAGAAGAAGAAGAAGAAGAAGAAGAAGAAGAAGAAGAAGAAGAAGAAGAATAAAAAGGTTTTTCGTCGATTTTTCAGAGTAGAAACGAAAAGAGGAAGAAGAGAAGAAGAAGCTTTCGCGTTAGATATTGTTGAGTATCCCGTGGGAATCGTGGCACCAGACAAAGTCAAAGTAAATTCGAAGCACCGTTGGCATCGGCACACTGATCCCTTCAACCCTCTCCCTACCCCAACCTTCTCCTTCTCTACCAACCCACACCCCCAAACCACCTTCCACCCTTCCTTCCTTGCTTCCTGTTAAACTTAGGCGACGCGAAGAAAACCCCCATCGAAGTTTTCTGAACGGACCCGAAGATCAAGACAATTCTTCTTTGAAATTTTAATGAAATGTTCACAATCGGGAGAAGAGAATCGCCGGAAGGAAAACGGATTGATTGGTCGTAACCGGTAACGGTTCCAACTAAATCTCGAAAGTAACGTATAAATGAATAATCGTAACCTTACGGAGTTAGATGAGAGTTATCGATAGGTTTTTTTTTTACCATCATCCCCCTTTACGACGATAAGGATTGATCGATCAAACTCTAAACGAACATTTTCAAAATCGCATTAACCTTCTCTCTCTCTCTCTCTCTCTCTCTCTCTCTCTCTCTCTCTCTTATTACTTATTTCTTTTCTTTTCATTTTCTACGTCTTTAAGCTCTGTTATAAGAAAAAGTGTTCCCCCATGGATTTCTTATACGAATAAAATGAGTAAGAAAAAAAAATTCTATTATAAAGTTACTTTTCCAAAAAAAAAAAAAGGTTTTTCTTTCTAACTATTTCTTCACAACTTTTACAATATATTTCTTTTTTTATTTTCTAAATACAACAAAATAAAGTAAATAAACTTGTAAGACAATCTAACAATATTTAATAATCGTTTTATTTCGAGTTTATGAATCTTACGAGCCATGTGCCAATACCTTCCCACTTTCTGCTCTTAACTTATTAATTGCCAAATTATATTTTGTTTCAGAAATATTTATATTTTTGAAAAAGTCTTAAATGGGGATTGTGGCTGGTTGCACGAAAAAACTAATAAGAGACTACTTATTTTATTATATGCGTTATCTTATACATACAAAATAGCTATTATTATGCCATTTTTCCATACAGTCCACATGAAACCGAGTAGTGTACGTAAAATTCCAAAATCCCCAAATGTGAGGATTGTGGCAGCTAATGGGTTAATCTATGTTAACAAATAAATATTCCTGTAAAGTTTATCAACCATGAATTAAATAAATAAAAAAATACAAAAAATAATTTAATCGCGATATAATTATTTTAAAATTAAATTTAATTATATATATATATATATATATATATGTACCTATACTCATAACACCCATAATAGTATCACTCTTTTCTCATCTTCATTCATTCATTCATTCATTTATTCATTAATTTCTAGAAAACTTAAACAAAATTATATATCTCCACATAAAAATCAAAGAGATAGGTATAAAAAAAAATTAAGGATGGTATGCATATGTAGGGATATGTGAGAATATGTGTGTATGGAAGAGAGTAAAGAATAAACAGTGCATTATATGCAATGCCATAGAAAAGGGCCCCCACGGCTGTGTTGCAGCCATCTTCTTCGAAAGGTTACGCTCACGCGTTGCCAATCTAATTAATTTTATTTTAATTACTGCATCGGCGAGCACTCGTCGATTGTTATTGTTTCAACGGTGATGAATCGACCAACGGCGGTTGTGTTGTGGCGATGGTGTGGTGGTGGTGGTGCCGTCGACACCATGCTATTTTCCCGACTGACAATTTCTATCTGTTTCGTTATATATAGAAAACATATACATATACATATACATATATATAAATAAAGAAAGAGAGAAAAAGATACATATATACGTATATATACATATATCGTACATAGAAACGTTTTGCGAGATGTACCCTATTTTATTTTCGCTTATTTTCTTTTCCTATTGGTCAACCCGTTTTATTTATGATTCCCAATAAAATCTATCTTGTAGACAACAATGTGTTATATTTTGTTCGACGAAATAGAAAAATAGGAAAATAGATTTATACTAAAATAATAGAAAAAAGTTTAATATAAGGTAAAAGGGGCAAGGGGGGGGGAAACGAGAGAGGAGGAAAAAATAAAAAAAAAATCTATTATCAATGTTTCACTTTGTTTACGATGAAACGCCATCAATTTAACGCGTAAATACCTATATAGATATAGTCTTGTTTTATCGAATTGATAAACGTTTACATATATATATAAATGTGCGTGTATATTATGTTTCATGATTTAAATCATGTTATATTTAACAAATGTTGTAATATAATAGGTTTCGTTGCGTTGATTAATATATACCATCGAGAGAGTGTCGTTTAATAGTATTATATAATCATTCAGTTATACATGTATATATGGTAACGTTCGACCGAAGTCAATATTATTCTAACGAAAGAGAGAGAAGTATGATGTGTTCAGACACGCGAACACGATTTTTTAGAATATCCCAAATCGTCCTAAACAAATCGATTATCGAAGAAATATTGAAAAAGTAAAAACAAAAAAAAATTAATAAAATAAAATTATAAAAATAGTTAATCAATTACAAAATATTAAACATATTAAATAAAACAATTATAAAATATAATATATAAGATATAAAGAGAGTATTTTTTTTGTACTACATTATACAAAAATACAAAGAAAATGAATTAAATACAATTTTATTTTGTACAAGGTAATTAGAAAAGAAAAACCTTCGAAATTAATATTTTTTGGTTTAAGCATAGATTACTATATATATATATATATAGAAGGTCTCAAAGTAAGGAGGCATAAAACGTCCCCAAGAGGGATTTTCAAGCGAGAATTTTGCCATACCTTCGAAGAAGACGTCGTCGTCGTCAGGGATTTAAAGGTAAGAGAACAATTTCTTTCTCTCTCTCTCTCTCTCTCTTTCTCTTTATCTAATATCCTCGTCTACGTTTTATTCCCATTTACAAGAGAATTAATGCTTATAAGAAGAATCACAAAAGATTTCTCATATCATCTTTGGTTAGTTTTTCTTATTTCTTGTGGTGTGTCGTCCCTTGCCCTCTCCTCCTCCCACCCACCTCTCTTCCCGCTTCAAACTCGTCGCCTATCGTGCTCGTCCCCGAGGCCCGAGCTCCTTTTAATTACCCAACGTTAAATTCTTTATCTGGCTGAAACAATGTGGCGAACTCGTGTTTTCAGACCAAACAAGCCCCATGTTGATACGCGGTAATAGAATAATCTGGCAGCTGATTCTGGGGATATAGCTTGCGGGGATAGAAACCCACACGATTTCTGCACCGAGTCTGCGCCTACATATCCCCGAACGAAAATCAACTACCCCCCTTCAACCCCCTACCCCGTCCAGTTCGTTTCT